TGAATTCTCAGTTTCACTTCCCATGGACACAGAGGAGTGCCCCTCCTTTCCTTCATGAAGAACCCCGTGGTGCCTCTTGCCCCAGGTTTGGTTTCAACCTCTTGACCGTCCCTCAGAGCGCAACGTTCATTGATGAAATTCTGGGCAGCTTTATCTAAACGATGTTTTATTTTGAAACTTAATTTTCTTCTGCCTTTTTTTTTTTTTTTTTTGAGAAGGAAGAAGTTGGTGATACATGTTGTAGATGGATTATATCATGGCCCCGATTCTTATCCCTCCGGGTACCAGGCCCTGAGCTGGGAAACTGTGCAGGATTCTAACTCTGGACCCAGCTGTATGACTTCTTTGGGCCAATGGGATGCTCCTCCCCCTCCCCCTCTTTCTCCTTCTCCCCTCTCTTCCCCCTCCTTCTTCCCTCCTCCCCCTCCTCCCCCTCCTCTTCCCCTTCCTCCCCCTCCCCCTCCTCCTCTTCCCTTTCCTTCCCCTCTTCCTCCTCCCCTCTTCTTCTTCCTCCTCCTCTTCCTCCTCCCCCTCCCCTGCCCCCTTCCCCCCTCCTCCTTCACCGCCTCCTCTTCCTCCCAGTTCAGCATCATTTTGTTACTACTTGTTACAACTACAAGATGTTGATAAGACTGGTAGGTTGCAGGATCCCCATTTTACAGAGACAGAAAGGAGGCTCAGAGATTAAGTCACAAGCCCAGGGTCAACCTCAGTCAGTGGCTAAGGCAGGAAACGCTGTCTCTGTGATTCCAGTTGCTGACATGTATGGAGTACGTTCTTCATGCCTGTACTTTCTAAAAGCTTTACATGTGCAGCCCTAGCCAGTTTGGCTCAGTTGATAGTGTCAGTGTGCAGACTGAAGAGTTCCATATTCAATTCTGGTCAAGGGCTTGTACCTGGGTTGCAGGCTCCATCACTGGTCCTGGTTGGGGCGCATGTGGGCCGCAACCAATCAATACGTCTCTCTCACATCGATGTTTCTCTCTCTGTCTCTCCCTCTCCCTTCCACTCTCTCTAAAAATATCCGCCCGTGAGGATTAACAAAATAAATAAATAAACAAAAGCTTTACATCTGTTATCTCACGTCATCCTCAGAACACCCCCATGGGGGAAATACTGTTGTCAGCATCATTTGAAAGATGAGGCGATGGAGGCAAGGGGAGGTGAATTGTCTGTTCAAGGTCATGTAGCCTGCGAGGGCCAGAGCCCGCGTTGGAACCCAGACAGTAGACAGGCTCCTAAAACTTAAGCGCTCTAGCCGAAACCGGTTTGGCTCAGTGGATAGAGCGCCAGTCTGCGGACTGAAAGGTCCCAGGTTCGATTCCGGTCAAGGGCATGTGCATTGGTTGCGGCACATCCCCAGTGGGGGGTGTGCAGGTGGCAGCTGGTCGATGTTTCTCTATCCTGCTCCCTTCCTCTCTGCTCTCTGTAAAAAAATCAATAAAATATATTAAAACAAAAACACAACTTAAGCGCTGTAGGTAGTAATGCGGCTGTGATTATTCTGGGCCCAGCGGACTGGGCGTGGCAGGGATCAGAAGTTTCCAGAAGTTGAGAAGTGGAGGTATATCACATTGAATCCTGGGCCGTTAGAGAATGGGTAACTACTGGACTACATTTCCACCTAACGTACGTGTCTGTTCTTGGCAGCTCTGACCAGTGGTCACTCCCCCCCTGCAATATGGTGCCTCTAGTCCATCATTGAATAGGTCTGGTCTAGCCCCCGGGGCTCTCTCACTAAATACTTGGCTCCTCTTCTGCCCCCACCCCCCCACCCCTAATTAAGCCTGAGTTTACCTCCTGAACAGGGGATGATACATCACAGCTCTGGGTGACTGCAGAGTTTCCAGAGTTTGGGAAATGCACTCATTTAGAAACAGAATCTCGTCAGGAACACGGCAAGCTCAGCCCTCTCCCCTCCGCCTGCCCTTCATGGCCCAGAGTGAGGAAGGGACAGACCGTCTGGGCTGGCACCCCAGTGGAGGATGAGCTGACCGTTTCTGTGGCCTGTGGGTGGTAGAAACAGAAAGAGCTTCCTGTGATTCCAGAAAGAGGCGGCCGAGAAGGACCCATAGGACTTTCCAGGCCAGAGGACCCTAGAAGCAGGCTGCAGGCCATTGCAGGTTGGCATAACTGGCCCTTTGGAGAAAATGGTGAAAGTCAGAGATTTTCCACCCCCAAAATGTCCACATAGGCATAAGTTTGCTTACCACATAAGATTGCTTAGTTCCTGGGTCCCCACACCTTTTCAAGGTCTCTACGGAAGAATCTGGATCCAGAGAGCCCCTGCCATCTGATTAGGATTAAGATCCCGAGAGGAGGGGTGCTTCTAGCCCGCCTTCCAGCAGGATGTTGGGATCTTCTCTGGCCTCAGAGGCTAAGGGGAACCTTCCTCTTACTCCTGCACCTGTCCATAGCACTGTATCGCCACAGTCTTTAAAAAACGTGGCCCTTAGACCAGCAGCTTTAGCATCACCCGGGAACTTGTTAGAAATGCCAATTCTGGGTGGGGCCCAACAAACAGTCTTTGATTCGGAGGATTGCTCACGCATGAGAAGGGCCACTGTAAGCAATCCTCTGCTCTGTGCCGGGCCTGCCCTACTAACACAAAGCGCTGGGCGCATAGTAAGTCCTCAGTGAATATTGGTTGCTTCATGTTCCCCTGACTCCCAGAGCAGGCTCCCTGCCTTGTACCCTATAGCCCTGAGACTGGGGACTGCGATGCAATATTATTTAGGCCCAGTTTCTTTCTATTCCAGGACTTACGGTCGCGCGTAGTTAACTCCGCTAGGCAGAGGAGAAGGCTTGGCCTTGAGGAAGGTGCCCCAAAACCACCGCACAGGGGAGGAACCAGAGTCATCGAAGCTGGCAACACCTGTCCAGGCTACAAGGCCTCAGCCACCCAGTGGATGATGGGCGGGCAGGCAAGCAGGGGGCTGACGGGCCAGCGTAGGGCTCATGGGAACCCAACTCTGCCCAACTCTGCAGGCCGCCCTGATCCCGTTGGTGCCTGCCTTATGCCAGCTTTGGCAAAGTCTGCTGAATCTATGCCAGGGTGGCAGGCTGGCAGGGAGGGGAAATGGTCACTTTATTTTTAATGACTCTTCAACTTTTGGGGGAATGGTTAGACGATCCCTCTTCTTAACTGTGTGTGTGTGTGTGTGTGTGTGTGTGTGTGTGTGTGTGTGTGTGGTCCCTGGTAAGATTGTCTCTTAAGTCTATGTCTCCTATGGAGAGCTACATTCCCACAATTCATTCTTCGGTGGAGGATGTGTCTTCTATACTGTCCCTCAGTTTCCTGACCTTCATTTTTTTAAACTATATTTTTATTGATTTCAAAGAGAAAGGGAGGAGTGAGAGAAACATCAATGATGAGAATCATTGATCAGCTGCCTCCTGCACGCCCCCTACTGGGGATTGAGCCCACAACGGCAACCTGGGCATGTGCCGTAACAAGAGAATCAAACCGGACATCCGACATCTGTCCTGGTTCATAGGTTGATGCTCAGCCACTTAGCCACGCCAGCAGGCAGTTTCCTGGCATTTAAAAAATATTAACTTTTCTGAGGAGTGCACAGAAAAATAACCTGTAATTCTTTTTGTTTCATATCGATCCAGCTCTTAATTTTTTTGTGATATTTTTTAAAGGTGGGGGCCGTGCGAAGATTCCTGTTTAGCCTTAATTTCTAATGGTTTTACTTTTTAAAAGTAACCTCATAGTTTTCTTTTGGGGAAGGGCAGAAAAAGATTTCCCTCATCTCATATATAAGCAGTTCTTTATGTTTTTATTCCAAAAATCAATCAACCGTGGGAGATGTAGGATGGACACAGTCATTCCTCAGTCTCTTTGGGAAGCAGGTCCTTCACATTTCTTTTTTTTTTTTTTTTTTTTTTTTTAAAGAATTGATTCTTGGGGCAGGTGAGGAGGAGAACAGGAAAAAATAATCCCCATTAAAACTTCCCAAATTACAAGAAGTCAGTTCCTAAGGAAAAAAAAAAGAAAAAAAAAAGGTGATTATTTAGGATGTTGGATAGAAATATTCTTGTTCACCATTCATTTCACATAGAGACAGTTTCTCAAGTTTTTCTTTTGAAAATGAACCCGATTGGGGGATCAGGGGAGGCGTGGCTAACCTCCCTTTAACCTTTAGTAACCACCTTGTCTTACATGGGGCCATTCCTTCAAATTTACTAAAATACACGTTCCTTAAACATTTCTTTTTGGCTAGGGTAAACAGACATACTCTGATCACCCCACATTTCATATAATTATAAAACAGCTCCTCAAATATTTATTTTTAAAAAAATCAATCTGATTGGGGGGGTGGAGGGTCCAGAAAACACTCCCCTAACTGCCCCTTGTCAGACGTAGGACCAGCTCTCCAAACTTTTACATGCCAAGGGCATTTGGGGAGGGTGGCAGGGGCCACAGGGTCATCTTCCCTGAGCCTTCTATAGGGCCAGCTTTTCAAACTTCATTAAAAAAAAAAAATTAATCTGGATTATGTTTGGGGGGGCGGAAGGGGAGCAAAAGAGTTCCCCTTAACCCCTTGCGTCCCGCGGAGAGGCAGCTCCCCAAACTTTTTGCCCAGCGTGGCCATGACCTTTCGGAGGGGCTGGGGAGCGGGGGGCGGGCAGGGGGGGCGCGGGAAAGTTTGGGGGGCGGGCACGCCGCGGCCCCGGGGCCTGCGGGCGGGCGGGAGCGGCGCGCCCGGGGCCCGGGCGGCTTTGTGTGCGGCGCGGAGGCCGAGGCCGAGGCCCGGAGCTCCGGGGGGGCGGGCGCGGGAGGCGGCGAGGCGGCGGCGGCGGCGGCGGCCGCGCGGGCTGGGGGTGGGGGGCGAGGCCGGGAGCCCCCCCGCGCGCCCCCGCCCCCCCGGCCTGAGCGGGGCGGGCGGGCGGGCGGAGCGGGAGCGGCGGCGGCGGCGGCATTGTGCGCGCTCCAGCAGCCCGGCCGGGAGGAGAGGACGCCGGGCCGCCGCCTCCCGCGGTCGGTCGGACCCATGCACCAGCCGGGCGGCGCGGCGGCTCCGCAGGTACGAGGAGGGGGCCGGGCGAGCGGCGCGCGGGGGGCCGGGGGGCCGGGGGGCCGCGGCCCGGGCGCTGCGCCACTTCGTTGCAACCTTTGCAAGATGCAAAGTGCCCGGGCACGTTTGCGGGCTTTTTTTTTTTTTTTTTTGTGGGCGCCCACGGGAGGGTCGAGGTCTGGATCGGGGCACCCCCCCCCCTTTCCCCGGGCGCCGCGGGGTGCGGGGAGGGTGGGAGGCGCGGCGGGGTCTCCCCGGACTCCCCCCTCGGCGCCCTCTCCGGCCCCGGGCTCGGACCGGAGCCCAGAAAACAAAGCGGTGTTGGGAGAACAGAGCAGCCATTGCAGTTTGGACAATTCACATTTTGCAAAAAATGCAACCGCTGCCAGCTCTCCCCCCCCCTCCCCTCCAAATTTGCAATTTCCCCCGGACCATCTCCGCGCTCCCGGATCCTGGGGACCCGCCGAAGGTCTTGGCTCCCTGGCCCCCCATCTTTGCAACAATTTCTCTCTCTCGCTCTCTCTCTTTTTTTAGGCCATATTTCCCTTTCTCATTTTTTTTTTTTTCTAATTTTTCTTCAAACGGTAGTTTTTTCCCATTAAAACGACGCCACCTAGAGGATACTATTCTGTAAATAAAAAAAAAGAAATTAAAATTGAAAAGAAAATCATTTTTATTTCTTATTTTTTCAAAAGTTTTCACTATAAATCGGTGGAGGGGAAAGGGATTCTTCTTCTTTTTTTTCTTTTTGGGGTGAAAATTTTCTCTTTGATCTTTCCAGCAGCATGAAGACATTTTTTTTTTTAAATTTCTGAATCCAGATAATATGTAAATGAAAATTAAGCTGGAATTTGAATGAATTCAGTTTTTTGAAGGGATGAAAGCAAAAAGCTTTCCTAAAACCATTTACTTTGGCTGTCCAACTCTTTTTAGTTTGAGAGAAAAAAAAAAACTAATGGGAATGAGGAAAAGAGGGAAATTGTTGAGTTTGGAGAAAACTGGGAGAAATTGGCTTTATGAAGCAATTAGAAATTGTACTTCATTGTAATTTGGAACTTGTTTAGCTCCGCGGGCAAAAAAGGACTAATTTCACAATTTGGCAATATTTAAGTTCTATTTCCAAGAAGGAAGGATTTAAAAGAGAAAACAGACCCTAAAATGTTGGCTTTGGACACACCCAGAAATTGTAGGTTTTTTTTTTTCTTTTTTCTTTCCAATTTTGCATTTACATTTTACTGCATTTAAATCCCAAGGTTGTAAAGAAAAACAGAAACTGGAAAAGTTAGGAGTGAAATCCTCTCCTTTTTTTCCCTGCGTTTGTTGGGTTTTGTGTTATTCTGTTTTGTTTTGATGGAATAATTGGGATTGTTTTCTGATTTTGTTTTCTGAAAGGTCTGGGCATTTCTTTTTTGTTGTTGTTTTAGTCAGAAAATGTCTGAAACCTTTTTTGAGCAATATTCAGTGGAAGAAATGTGAATTCATTACATTATACAAATTGAGTAGCCCACAGATTTGTAGGAGAGACCGCCATTAAAATAAGATATGCATAATTAACATTATTATGAAAAAACTAACAGTGGATTCATAGAAGCTCATTTTTTTATGACATGCAATTGAATCAGTTGATAAAGACAAGGGTTGAAGAATTCTTGGAGGAAGAAAAATTTCCCTTCTCTGTGCTTGCTCACTCTTCCAATTTGAAAAAAATTTATTATTTAAAAAAAAATCCAGATTGATCTGAGGCCTCTTTAATTGTGATGTGGGCTTGGTAGTTTATTAACATTCGGCATTTCTTTTCTCACAAATTTGATTATTTTCAAAGGGGAAAAAATATCCATTAGCCTATATCATTTTGGAATGTTTGTGATTTTTTATTTCTGAAAGCACAGATTTTACTGACTTAACAAGAAGGAAAGATAAAAAGGGAAAGACAGAAAGAAGATGAAAATTCTGATTCTCATCCACTTCTCTAGTGGAATACTTACTTTGCTGAAAAAAAATGGGGTAAAACACCAATTGAGCTGATTCTAGTATCAAATTTTAATTTAATTTTTGAAGGAAAAAAATCAAAATGCAAACAAAAGCCAAACCCAAAGCTACTTGATGAAAGCATATGTGCTAACAACATTTGATATTTTTTTTACTTTAAAATGTATCAAATGAAGGTGAAAAAAAATTTTTTTTTAGAAGACAAATATTGACTGAATTAAAATTTAACAGATGAAAATAAGGTACCCACCCAAAGTTGAAGGGTTATTTTGTAATGAATTACTATCTGATTGAAATTGCTGGGGGTTTTTGAACCAAAAACCAAAACCAAAATGTTCTAATTTTTCTGTCCCAAAGGGGGGAATACTGTCAGCATTTGCAGGGTGGGATCTTGTGGGGGGGGTGGGGGGGGATGGGTGGGGATAGGGTCTGAGGGTGGCCACCAGCTGATCTTGGGAGAAATGGTAGCCCCGGTCCATGGATTCCCAACCCTGTTTTGTAGAAATTCAGATTTCTAAGGGGATTTCGAATTCTGTGAAATATATTTGACATTTCCCATCATGGCCATTGCATTTGGGAGATTTTATTTTTTTAGTAACAAAATCCTTCAGGGCTGACTGGCCACATTCTGACATATTTGGAATGAGCTTTTTTTTTTTTTTTTTTTTTTTTTTTTTTTTTTTTAAGTAGCATAATTAAATTTTTTTTTTTCTGTTGAATTATTTAGGCCGATGTCTAGGGCGGTCAAAGAATTTATAATTTCTAAAGGGCTCTGGTGGCTTTCTGAGACAGTAGGCCTAGGTTTAGCCAGAGATAGAGGAGACCTGTGCCCTGGGCTGGGAAGGGGTCGGTGGGCATCCCTACCAGGCATCGGAGAAAAAGTCAGGGTTGTAGATAACAGGTTATTTCTGGGGCCAGGAATAAAAATAATCGCAGCATGCCCCTTTGTGTGTCCTGGCTCTCCTGACACCCAACTCGGATTCCTTCCTTCCATCCTGCTGAAATTTGGTTGTGTTGTCCACATTTTAAAGGGAACTCCTGGCTAGAAATGACAAATCATGTCTGTTTTGTAGACCTGTTTTTCTCTCTTGGAAAAAAAAAAAAAATTGTTGATTCTGATCATGTTTGTTGTAGAGGAAATCGTGGTGCATGATGGGACGGTGGGAGGCGGGGTCAGTTTTCTTTTGTTTCTATTGGCGTCTCCCAGGATTGAGATCTGACCTGGGCCTTGCCTCTCTCCCCCCCCTATTTTAGGTGGACGTGTGGCCAGAAATGGACGTGCGAGCTGATTTTTATTAGCCCACGTCCGCTTACCGCACTCTCTCAGAATATTGGGCAAAAAAAAAAAAAAAAAAATCTGGCAAATTGGACCTGAGGGGTGGTAATTTGATGATGGGCTGCGTTATTTTGGTGAAAGATCATTTATACCCTCTTGCACAGTGGGGACTCTTATTACTTAATGTTTTGCTTTTCAGCCTAAGGAGGCTTGTTGTTTTTTTTTCTAATAAGGTTTGAAATTTCAAGGGCCTGCTTTATGGCTTGACTTTGGACCGAGCTGGGAAACAGGCTTTGCTTATACTTGAGCTCTGCACAGTGGTGACGGTGAACAAGGCCTCTGCTGAAGGCGAGCCACAAAGATGGCTGGTCAGTGGAAGGCTGACCTCTCCCCCGGCCCTAGAAAGGAAACAGCCAATGGTTTGTTTCATTTGAGAAACAGAGTTTTAATGCAATTCCCTCCCGGCCCCCTCGCACCCCCCACTTTTCACTCAGCTCTTGGCCTGCTGTTCCCCTGACTTCAGAACCCTCAAGTCTTCTCGGTGGGGAGATAAGGACTTCCTTGCTGGGTCCGGCTGGCTGTGTAACGGACTTTCCATGGTCACGATGAAATGTGAATGTTTCCACGTCCTTAGAATGTGTGGCGCCCGCTGTGTCTCCCACCTGCCGCTGCAAAGCAGAGTAGATTTGTGGGTTCACGGGAGTCCTAGCGTTCCCACAGTCTTGCTGTATGACCTCGGACAGGTCACTTTTTCCTCCTGACCCCCAGTTTTTGCATTTGTCCGATGAGAGCTTGGGATCCGAGCAACAAATAATACCGGCAAGTTTCATTTCTAATTCTGACTCCCAAGTGGTCGGCAAACTCATTGGTCACCAGAGCCCAATATCCACAGGACAACGATTGGAATTTCTTTGGAGAGCCGCATTTATTTAAGCTTAAATTTCTCCTAACGGCACTTCCTCAGAATAGATGCGCCCAGGCCGTGGTATTCTGTGGAAGAGCCACCCTCAAGGGGCCAAAGAGCCGCATGTGGCTCGCGAGCCCCATGGTTTGCCGACCACTGTGTTGAGAAGGATTCCGAGCTCACGTCCGTGTTCTGGATTGCGGGGCGCAGGGTCTCTCACAGAGCGGGGAGTGCACCTCTGAGTTACCATGCCCAGCCCTGGCTGTGCCACGACCGGTTGGTGGATTGTCAAGCCAGGGTCGTGGATCACAGTCAGCATTAAGAAAATAGACTATCAGACTGGGGAACAAAAAGATAGCAGAGGCATGGCACAGGACTGAAGAGCCGGTGTCTCACGGGGCGTTTGTGTTATTTACGTTTGCCGATGCGTGCTGCATGGTAAGCAATGGCATTGCTCCTGTGAGTCGTGGTGAGAAGGTGCTGGGCTATGATCCCCCACGTTACTGCTCAGACTTTTATTTTCTCACCCGTTATCCTGGCTGAGCTTTACGTGCCCCCTGTGGGGTCGGTGTCCCGGGCCACAGGCTCGCACCCCAGCTTGGCGGCCTTGGCTGGGACCTGAGGGCAGGTGTAGAGCGAAGGCCGCGTCTTGGCCGGGTTTTCTTGCTGGAAAGGAGGTTTCGAGTCGTTTGGAAATCCCTCTGTTGGTGGGAGAGAGAGCTGTCCCCATGACTTTTACCCCTCAGACTTTTACTGCACATTGCCAGAGGAATGTTTCTGGAGTGAGGGAGTTCATGGTTGTGTCGTATTTAAATTTTAATCAGACGCTGTGTGAGTGTG